TGATTCATTACCAATATAAATACATTCATAAAAATATCATGCAACAAATACAATGGTTGGAAGGCACTGCTTTTGAACGAAGCCTTAACTAAAGATTTAAGTGTACTACAGAGGGAGTAGTCGGCCTCCGAGTATTTTACATTATTGAATTTGGCCACCCTTGAAAAGGGTTTTGGAAAGCCTTGAGCTAATGGACCAGGCCAAGTGAGTCTTATCTTCATTTAAGAGTGATCTTTGGAGCCAGAACCAGAGTTAACAAAGAGACTCTCCTCAGTCCGATCAGTGTGTGGCCTCAGGTGTGTGCGCCACAGCTGTAATTGGCCTCACCTGCAGCCAGCTGGCAGGCAGACAGTGCAATCGGCTGAAAGGCTTTCCTGCAGGAGAGATGAGCTGTCAAAACAGTCTGAGCCGTAGTGGATGGCAAAACACTTACTGTCTGCCAGTCTCTTCTAACAAATCACTTCCTGCACGCTTTTATATCAGTATCGCTCGTTTCCTGTCGGAAGGACCGGGGTTAACCTGTCAACTCGGGCTTTCTGCTGTAGGATGGCCCCGCTCTCGCCATCCTTCTCCGCCTCCGTCCTCCTCCCTCCTCCTCCTGGCTCCCCACAGGCTGAGGAGGATAGATCTGACTAAAGTGCTGCCAGTCACAACAGCAGATGCTCATGTTTCCTCTGCTCTCCTGTGCTTTTCCACACATCAGTGATGTGGCAGGTGTGTGTGTTGGTGTGTGTGTGTGTGTGTGTGTGATCTGTCCTGGCAGGGCTGGATGCTTCAACACTGATGCCAGGAATATATGCGATAGAAGACAGAGACCATGAGAGAGACAGTGTCTATTTGTTCAGTTAATCTCTGTGTGTTTGTTTATGAGGGACTCCAGGCGGGCGTGCACTACTTTGTCGGTGACCTTATGTTTATTACAGCGGACCTCCCACTGTATCATGTTTCCTCTACATCTATCCATAGTTAGACCAGTTGTTTTGATTTGAAAATGGCCAAATTGTATTTTTTGAAGTTAATGCTCTAGGTCACAAGTGTCAAACTCAGGCTCGGGGGCCAAATCTGGACCGCAGGGTAATTATATTTGGCCCGTGAGCTGCATTTTCTTTGAATTGTTTGCAGGTTAAAAGTACAGAAACCTTGAAGGAGATTTGTTTTGCACTAGCTATTTTTTTAGCTTTACATATTTCTTTTTCAGTCATTCCTGTAGAGTTTGCTAATCTTTGACAATTCATTCACTAAAGGAAGTTGTTTTGGTTCTAAAAAGTCTCTTCATATGAATTGTATTGTTATTATTATTAATATTCAACTCCTCCTTCAAACTCTTTTGTTTTTTTTGTTTTGTTTTTATTATTATTTTATCCATGTATTAGCAAGGCAAGCACATTTTGTTTTATTTCAAATTGAACACATACATATAGATACATATATACACCATATAACATATAGTAATAGCACATTTTGTTTTATTTCAAATTGAATTTCTCACATGTGTTTATTATATTGAGCTTTAGTTGTTCCAGACTCAATTCTTTACCTTTTGTTTAGAGGCTAATGGATAAGCTAACAACAACAATATCATTCTGAGAATGAGACCAAAGTACTGTGGAAAGTACTGCAGTGTCAGTGTTGCTTGTGTAGTTTAATTAAAAAACAAACAAACATTGAAATCTGACAACTGTATTTAACATCTGTCCCCAAAGTAAACATGTACCTGTAGTACTCCTGTTTATTTACAGTATATTTAGGGAAGTTTAGGCTCCACGGCACAGAGCAGGAATAGATCCTCCTCATTAGCAGCACCTCAGCGATGTGCTCTCATTAGTCATTCTGGACCAGTGTGCTGACATCAGAAAAATTCCTGCCAGCTCATTAACAAGTCCATTTCATTTTTGGCTTCTTTACTAATTTATTCTGATTATTTACAGCACATATGTATTATTTTTGTTCGGCAGCCTTTTTAAAAAAAAAAAAGTTTAGACAGTACATTTCTTCTACTGTATTGATGTTTGTAGATGGAATATATTTATCTGTGTGGCACATTTATAAATGACAGATGCTAACGTTTCAATAATGACTGTTTTGGGCTGTACACTGTTTATTTATGTACATTGGACTAAATTTGAAAACGGAAAAAGTTTATTTTATACTTTTACCCCCGCGACCTGGTAATGGATAAGTAGACGATGATGGATGGATGGTAAACTTTTACTTTTTTTTTTTTCTAACATATTTTCCTCACAATTTGTGAGCTAAAATAGTGAAGCACAACCTGCTTGTGGCTAATTCTTTAGCAACGTGCTTGGCTAATTTATGATGCAGATATGTTTGCTTTGTTCATGCCAGCGTTAGCATAGGGTCTTTGATGTTTCAATTATTTTCAGCTAATTAATGGGTGTATGGCTTATAGTTAATTCACAGCTACTGTATATGTAGCATCGAGCTACCATTAGCCTATTTGGCTAACCTTGGACATTTGAGCTGTGTTTTCTTTGAATTGTTTGCAGGTTAAAAGTACAGAAACCTTGAAGGAGATTTGTTTTGCACTAGCTATTTTTTTTAGCTTTATATATTTCTTTTTCAGTCATTCCTGTAGGGTTTGCTAATCTTTCACTAAAGGAAGTTGTTTTGGTTCTAAAAAGTCTCTTCATATTACTTGTATTGTTATTATTATTAATATTCAACTCCTCCTTCAAACTCTTTTGTTTTTTGTTTTGTTTTATTATTATTTTATCCAAGTATTAGCAAGGTTTTCAAAACCATTGTTGCCTTTGAGTTATTTTTTAGCCAAAACACAATTTAACCAACACCATATTGATTTTTAAAAAATGGTTTTTTAACCATATCTTCTGGGGTTGCATCAAACAACTCATATTAATATTAACAATAACAAACAGCATCTGCAAATAATAAGGTATATTAAACATTAAGCTGCTCCTGTGTGAACAACAATCCTCCAGTCTTGTTGTTTTAATGCCTCCACTTTAAGGCATGCTTTCAGAGTACATTCACAACGATGGATTTCATAACCAAATCCATCGCATGGATAGTTTATTAAGATTGATTGCAACATATACCCCTCAGTATTTCACGGCAGCAGTAATGATCTGACTGGGAACTGATAGAATCTTCCCATTAGGTCTCATTAGGTGGCTTGGTGGCTACCAGCTTCTGAAAGCTCCAATATATATGTGATGGCTCTGCATATTGGATCGTATTTGGAAAATAAAAAAATAAAAAAAAACTAACAAGACCACAGTTGTTTTGCAGTGACAGAGAGAAAAAACGATTTGACTTGAAACGTTACAGTTTTCTTTAAGTGCCACATATATTTTATGAGCACACAGTCAAGGCATTAGCTTCCGGAAAACCTATGAACTCCTGCGAATGCTCTCCCTAAAACGACCCAATTTCTTTAAAGCAGAAGAATCAACCTTACTGTAATACATTTTTCTGTCCTATAATGTATGGCAGAGGCAGAAGAAGCCGGGAGTTCAGGGACTCATTTGTGCCTATAGGCGCTCCACAGGCAAAATGAGTGATTGGGAGCCAGATCTGCAGGAGGGGGGAGTCCATTATTAAAATGTTGCCTCAGAGCCAATTGATTAAGATGTTGGGAGGCGTTCTTGCTTTCTTGCTTCACTGCTGCAGAAATGTGTATTCATGGACGCTGTAATATTTTATTTTGTTTGCTTTAGCTTTTTTGATAAAATTATATATTGATGATAATGAGGTTGACATGGTGTTGTCTGGAGGTGCTTTACTGAATAAAGCCATGTTCATTATTTAAATCAGGGGTATCAAACATAAGGCCCGGGGGCAATTTCTGGCCCAATAAAAACCCACGTCTGGCCCATGACTGTCAATAGCACATTTCTTTTTTTTTTTATTCATTGAATTGTGTTAGCTGGTCATTTAAGAATTGAAAATAAATAGCACATTTCTTTTTTTTTTATTCATTGAATTGTCTTAGCTGGTCATTTAAGAATTGAAAATATCTACAGTATTCAATTATGAAAATACAACAACTACCGTTTCTGAAATATCAGGTCAGTTTCTCCCCGACCCCTGATTTAAATCATTGTGATGATGCAGCAGTTTTTATCCAAATGTAGAATGATATTGAGCTGTTGTTGTGTCTGAGTTCTCGCCAAAAAGCTGTTAATGATCCGATTTAGTTCAGCTCTGTTCCTGATATTCAATACTTTGTACTTTCTTTTGTTTTGTAGCATAAACTAATCGAATCCTTTCCTCCAATAACTCTTCTTTTTGTGTTGGACTTTTCACGGAAAGAACTGGGTTTGGAATTTGATATTTCCCATGGGAAATTAATAGTAGAAAGCATTTTCTGGACCGGGTTCAGATTAAAGCTGGAGCTCATTATAATCCCATTAACCCGCTGTAGTCATCAGGAGCAGGTCTGACAGAAGATGGAAAAGGTGTGTGTGTCTAATTATAGCGCCACACTGTGACACAGATGCCAATCTGGCGAGACAATTAAGGTATTCTACTGCTGCACTGACAGTAACCTGTGCAGGATTCTCTCATCCTCTGACGTTCAGGTTGGATCAATGTCTATTGACCACAAAAATCAAGCCTGTCAATCAAGGCCGGAGCTCAGGATCACCCAACAGACGGCGTACCACGTGACCTGACTTCTAATATATCCTCATTATAAATATTTGTTTATGATGCTTATGATGCTTAAGTCACAAAACATTGCATAACATTTCTAATGTTTTTTTGCAAAGTCGTTTTATTTGCAAAATTCCCTTATTTCTCATGCACATTCGGCAGTGGTTTCCGTCCTTTGCACAAAGATTTCTGCCGACTGTTCCTCCACAACCGAACGGTCAAGACTAGACGGGATACTGCACATTTTCTAAAGATGTACTTTTGTCCAAAGTACATATAAAATACAGCAGTTTACTCCAATATACTACACTTATAGATAGTCCACATTAACCAACTCGTCCATGTTTGTCCGTCTTTGCTCACAGAAGCTGGCCAGTGAAGCAGAGAAGTTTCAGAAGGAGCACTCCTGGAGGGACGACAGTGAGGTGAGTGTCTGATACCGAGAGCATTTACCCCTGGCTGCAGCACGCGCAGTTCAAGGAAGAAACCGTGATAGTCATTATCCGCCACGCTTAATAATAATTCAGTGGCAAATCTCATTACAGTGACACTCGGGCTGTAATGACTTCATGCCAGATTGAATATCATTATTTCGCATAATTGGCAGTAACGACACGCAGGCTTATCAGGGACATTGGAGGAGAAAACACAGCAAATGATATGAACAATATCATTTCATTACTTTGACTCATTACTGGCTCCGGTTGACAACTGGAAGTGCAGTTCGTCTGGCTGCACGGACAGTTTACTTCACTGCCCACGCTGTTGTCTTCAGGCTCCAAGTTTTCATGATGAATGCAAATTGCAAAATTACTTCCCCCTTTATTTACAGTGTGTAAAAGACACCGAAGCAATTTAACATGTAACAAGTGACAAATGTGTATATATATATATATGTATGTATATGTATATATAATATATACAGTATAAAATATATAGGCAAATATATAAAATATATATGAACATATATATAAATATATGTATTTATTGATATATATGTACATATAATATATACACTATATATAGTTGAGTATATATGTATAAAAATATATAGACAAATATATAAAATATTTATCAACATATAACATATATAAATATATATGTATATATATATATATATATGTTCAAAAAACCCTAATTGTCAAGAGTTCTCATCGAGTGCATTTATGGAACCATGTTTTTTTTTTTTTACATAATTTAATTATTTTCTATGTCTCCAGATGTAACCAAGACAGATTTCATAGCTTGGTCTTTTATGACTTAAAGATTTTATTTGTGAAGCGCTGACCACAATTAACAGTAAACACCAGCTGACACAATGTTAAAACAGTTCCTGCCTCAGGTCTGAAATGTTGACATATTTTCTTTTATTGTTATTGTTATTTTCTTTTATTATTTATTGTTATTTTTATCTTGCAGGCGGACAAAATTGTTTACTACAATGCCAAAGATGAAGTAAGTACAATTTTAATTTCACTCTGGTGATATTTTCACTCACTCTGAGACAAGTGAATTATCTTATCTTCCAGCTAACATTTGTGTTATGGATCCATATAAAATCTAGCTGGAGTTTGATTGGGATCCTTTTGGGTGTGAACCCAAACAAATTTGTCAGGCAGTTGGTAATTGTCGGTGGCCCACTTTGTAACAACGTAGCCCATATATGCTATCCACTATGTGAAGCTAGTATGTACGTTCAACCTGGTGTTCCTTTAAGGTTAAAGAGAGTTTGGGTTCATTTACAGTACAGTTCGTGGGGATTCAGATAGATCCAGTATTTAAAAGCAGTATCCAACCAAACGTTTTGGGCTCTTCACTCAGTTCCCACACAAGTATGCGTCAGTCTCTGAACTCTGTCCCTGTCTTCGGACGTCATCTGTCTGCTTTGATAACCAGAGATCTGCTTCTAATTCTGTTTCACTGTCCCAGTGGAGAAGTGCAGAGGACATTTATGTCACTGTGGGTTTGACTGACAGTTCTGCCACATGTCTCTTTCTCTGAGTCTTTTTCACTGTCCAAGTTTTTAGAGTTTTAAATTAATTCCTCAACTCTATCTCCCACTGCTGAAATGACAGGACTTTGTGAGGGTGGACATGCTCTACGTCCATCTGACGCCTCCCCAAAGTAAAAAGAAACCATTGGTTTCTCATTTAAGGAAACATTTGTGTCTTTTCTGCAGGTTAACCAGACAGAACGATATGTTCCCGAGGATTTTCAAATAGACCCTGACTTCAAGAGACTTGTCTCCTACAACACCACGGCTGTCCACATCCCTACGGATATATACGAAGGCTGTAAGTTAGAACACACAAAAATCACATTTCTATACTTGTAAGGTCTATATTAGAAGTTTACACCATCGGAATCAGGTTATCACTCTAAACTGGCCCTGGGTCTAAACAGAAGTGTGAATGTGGCCCAGCAATGACTGCTGGGATGGACTCCAGCTCCTATCTTTGTTACACCTACTTGAAAACCTCCTCTCGAAAGAGGAGTGAAGGAAGCTATCAGAGGGGAAATGCCATCGTTCTCCAACAGTCAACGGAGGAAACACCTCAGGCGAGATTGTTCTTCTGGAAACCAAACCACTCCAGTGGTGTTTTTCTGAAGTGCTGCACCTACAGAGCCAGTAGGTACAGCAGTAGGCTGGAGCTGACGTGGTGTGGGGTCAGAAGTGGGGGGGCGCTGTGGACGCCTGTGAGGGACTTCCAATGGAATATGGAACACTGGACATAAGTGTACCACTGCTGTAATGCTCGAATGATAACAAGCCTCCAGTCACTAGGTGGCAGCACCTCATACAGTGGTTTGTACAGATAAAAATATACATGTTGCCAGGTTCTCAATAGCATTTCAATTCGCGGGGGAGTCTTGAAAACATTTCTGTCCCCAAGGTGGGGGGGGGGGGCACTGCCCTAAAGTAAAGAGTTTTGTGAGTATGTAAACAGTTTATACACACTGTCTTTTCTACTGGCTCTTCAGTTAACATTAGTGCTGTCGTCAGTAAGTCCAGTAACTACTTCACGTTCCAGTGATGTTGACCCAGCTCTGCCAGCAGTATCTGCAGTGCAGACAGTTTCATTCCGAACCATTGCCCTCCTGGTCTGAATATAGCACCAATGCCCATGAGCCAATGACCAGTTTACCCCAGCACCTCCTTTTCACCCGGGGTATCAACTGCTGCTTTCTCTCTCTTTCAGTGCTGACCCTGCTGTCTTCACAGAACTAGAAGTGATAGTGATTTTATGTTGTGGGCTAGTTGCTAAGTGTTTACTTTAGCTATTACACAGTTGTTATGCTAATGTATGACAAGCGGCTTGTTAATAGTTTATTAATAGTTGTTAATAGTTTTCTTAGCTTCCTCATATTAAGTTATACCATAATACTACTGTATAAACATATGGTCAATGTATTTTTAGACAACTTTCAATTGATAATTTACATCCTTATTGTGTCACAAATACTTCACAGCAAAATATATGACCATGGATTAAATACATTTAGCAAAGGAACAAATGCTAACATGCTAGTTAAAACTAAGTGAACTAAGATAAAAAAGTAAGTGATACAGCGGACTCTACTGGTTAAAAACCATGTTGTGGAATGTTAGATATTCAAGTCAGTAATCAGTGGAGTACAAAAATATTTAGTTTACGCTTGGCCGAAGTAAAATATCTGATTCAAAATGGCCACCTCTGTTAAAAAGGTTAGCTACTAGTTTGTTTATTAAATTAATTTCATAAATATATCAACTATATATTTAGTTAGTAGACAAACATTGAAGGCTCATAACACTGTTTTTATAAATATATTTAGTTAGTAGACAAAAATTGAAGGCTCATAACACTGTTTTTATACTTTACCTCCAAAAGAATTTGAAAATTGACTCAACTTTAAATAGACGAGAAGTTAGCAAAAAGTTAGCTTCCCTGCTAACTTGTTTTTTTTTTCCTATTATTATGAGAAGTATATCTCTAACGTGCCGGCAAAGTCCCACATGTGACTTATCGACCGTGACTTTAATGTGAAAACATTTTAATAAATGTTCTCATTCACTGGCGTGCAGCAGAAGCTAATAGCTTCTTTGGCGTTGATAAAACCATCCATATCAATTCCACTAATGGTCCTCACAGCTAAATGCAGGAGGCTGGGTCATGTGACTGCAGTGTCCTTATACAGTGAGCCAGCTCGTCCACACGAGTTGGACGATAAATGAGGCAGAGACATTTTTGTCCCTGCCGAGTGCACAGGGTTATTTTTACAAGCAGTACTTATAAATGAAGGAGAGGGAAGACGTACTGTTATATGTTATCTTTTTTTCTTTTTAGTTGAACTCTTGCAACAAGTCCATGCAGTTGCTTGATGAGGAAAAAACACAAAATTACAATTTATATTTTATTATGATAATGTATTTAACGTGTGCAAAATACACAGCCCGGTTGAGTTTTATATTTATTTTTCATTAAATTCTTTACTCTATTTTTCTGTTTTCTTGTTCCTTTTCTTTTTGTTGTTCAGGTGTGTACTTGTTATGGCTTGTAACTTAAAATATTTTTAAAAATCTCAGTCAGTTTTATATTATGTGACACAGTTATGTGACAGTTGACCCTCATTGGTCAGAGCATATTTGGCCAAAGTTGATCATTTCAACCGATGTTTTGTATTCATTTGAGTCTGACAAACACGTGTGACATCATGCGTAAATTATTATCAACTTTGTGAGAATTTTCTTGCACAAAAACTTGCATTGCTAAAAAGTTAAGCTGAGCTTGGAGTGCCCTCTGGTGGAGTACTCTCATTTAGGGACGGATTTATGTTTGACACTATGGGCCTTGAATATCGTTGTAATTGTCAAACTTGAATTCTTAAACATGAGATAAAAAGCTGAGACAGCGCTCCAACAGGAATAAGGACTTTTCTGTTTCCTGTCCAGTCGTTGGTCACTGGAGCAGCAGCTAATGAAGCTCTACAGGTGTCGTCAGCCTCGCAACGCCTTTCTCACCTTTGCACTTTTCCTGTCTGTTTCCGAGGATGAGCTGCCACATTGATGCCATCCGGGCCGGCCGGCACTGCCAAGGTTGCCATGGCGATGTGTATTCAAGTGTGTGTGTTTTTGTAAGGGAGACACACGCTCATGTGGACACGCCCTGGTCTTCTATCTTGTTTTATGGAAGGAAGGCCTGGTAACTTGATTAGGGGACACTTTGTCTAGACAAGACAGGCGTCCTTGTGGCTTTTACCGATTTCTGAAGGAGAGATGTGTGTCATCCGCCTCTTTTTCAGCAATTAGGTTTGACTTTCATTGGAACCACTCCCTTCTTTGTCCTCCTTTTTCCCCCAATCGTTTTCTCCTCTCTCCTGTTCTTTTGCAGCCTTTAAGTCTTTGGCCTTCATCGTCTCTTCATCAAGTGTTGGAGAGACATTTTCCTACTTTGGTCATCACTTTAGTTCTGCTGATTGAAATCTTCTTGGGGGGGGGGGTAATATAAACAATAACTGTAATCTCTAATCTGCACTTTAAAGTTGTGTGTCAGTTCAGGAAGACAGAAAAAAAACAATGGTGATGATGAGGTCTTACATCTCATGCGGCCTGTCACTCATTTTGTTTTGATAGGTTTTGATAGGAGGGGGCGAGTCACGCCCCGGGAGGGGCTCCTGATGCCCACTGGCAGCGACTCCATCTGGCACCTGTCAGCCTGGAACATGCACACGCTGCGTTGATCAGAGACGCTGTGACACTGCGTGTGTGTTTTTGTGTCGGAGTCGCTGAAGTCACTGCCCCTGTGGCAAAGCTCATAGTGTACAAATTGATTTTTTTTTTCTTCTCCTTGACACGTTTCCCGGTTTATTTGCAGAACTGGCTGCCAAACTGTAAGCTATCGTCATCTCACTCCTTTAACACTGCCCTCACATCTGTGATCTCTGTTCTGGTGACACACTGGATGCTTCCCTAAGATGTTCCAATCAGAGTGGTGAGGACTTGGCGTGTTCTCCGTGGTTTTGTGGGAGGACAGGTTATTGCTCAGTTGGTGTTTTTATCAGTTGCTTTAATAGTCGCGACCACACAATATTTTCTCTTTGATCCTCAACATTTTAGAATCCTATATTTGTCCGGATTGGACTGTTCAGTGGGCTAGATTCGGCCCGCGGGCCTCCAGTTGACGATCACTGCATTAATGCATCCAGTTGATGATGTTTGATTTTTCTGACTGCGTGACATCAACCTTCTGAAATCTGGACCCTTAAGATCTTGGACCTTGGATCTTAAGAAACGTTTGCCCACCCCTGCTTTTGCAGCTGCTGTCTGCACATCCACCAGTGCCAGTCAGCTGTGAGCTGAGCAGCATCATTGAGCTGAAGAGCTCCTTCTGATAGGATGATTGCAGGCTCTCATCACTGTAACCAACAGCATGTAATTACGTACAAATGCTCTGTGAGTTTTTCTCTCCGCCTGCAGGCTGATGACAGCCAACACCGCAGGCCTTCGCCCGGCGTTGCGTCACCTCACATCCCCATCACTCTCATTGTTCACTGTCGAGATCCTGCTCCATTTGTTTTGAAAACATTTACATGCCTTACAGGGAATGTTCGCCGACTTCTCCTCCATATTCATCTCCATGCCCTCCTGACCCATGAATCATTCATTGCCTCCAATTTCTTCACTTGTCAACAGTGTGATATTTGGATTGATGGCTGTGTGAGTCTTACCCTTCTGCACTGCTAAAAATATGCAGATAATTAACTGAGGTATTGTTTTGCGAATGTGGAGAAATTCAAACTTTTAATTAATGAGAATTTAACTGCAGTTTCGTATGGATATTTGAATCTCGATGTGCAGTATTAATCACAGTACAGTCCTTCACCTCACCACGTAATGTGACTTAGTATTAATCTGACTGATTGGAATGTTTGTTATTTCTTTAGACATTAATGTTAACAAATTCTTCAGAAATGTCTGGGGAAAATTATGTTTTTGCTGTAACAAAAAACAAAAATAGCTACAAAAAAAACCAAAAAAACAAACCCATATAAGTCAAAAGGCACCAAACTGTTATAAAAATAGATTAAAGTAAAAGTAAATGATTAAAAAAACTAGAATTAAATCCACATACAGGAATGTGTTTGCCTTTAACCAGTTATAGCTAAATGCTAACAAAAATGAAACAAAACTTAGTAGCAATTAGACTAGTTTAATGTTAGCATAGCCGTACTATTAGGGGAAACATAATTGGCCAAACAATTAGCTAATAGTATGCTAAAAAGTATTTTACAAACACCACTATTTACATAAGTTAGCATAACATGGCTAACTTAGCTATGTGCTAATTTACAATCTCTCTAAAGGCAATGTATAATATATATGTGAAAAAAATGGATCAATCAAGACAAATATATATATATATATATACATTCGCTTGAACATAAATAGCAGCCGATATTTGTCTTGTAGTTTTTAAGTTGACCCCTAGAGTTTGTCAAAACACAAATAGCCAAACAACTTCCCAAGCTAACTTACTTACTAACTTTGAAACACACGTCAAGGGGCCAAAAACACATTGATTAAAAATATTTATTAACCACATATTTTTCATAGCTTTTTACTCAAGGTTCTTTGCATGACAGACAACACTGACTCATTCCTACGGTGCTGTGGTGATACACGCTGCTTATTTCTGTTTTTCATCATGTCCTCAAGTCAGCGTCGGCAGCATCTTCTCCACAGAGATGGATCTGTTTACACTGAAGCTGTGATTTGTTCCGGTGTTTGACTGACTCAGATGAGAAGATTCTGCCTCGCCACATATTTATTATTGTTGCCCCAAGCTCCGCTGTGGTGCCTGACACGACCCTGTTTGTGAGTGTGTGTTTGCCCCAGAATTCCTCCTGCGAGAGACGTACGTTTAATGGGTCTGTCAATTTCACATAAAGAAACCCGTAAAAAAGACACATCCTTCCTCATGTGCTCATCATGTCTTCGCACAAATCACTTGGTGGTTGGTTAGTGCGTTGACTTCCAGTGTTGTGGACTGCTTTAATGTGAACACCAAGGTTTTCTGTGTGAGGTCTTGTTACCCTGGTGTCAGAGAAATCAGCAGGACAAATCCATTATGGCTCGTCCTCGGGGAGGAGGGAGATCAGGCTTGAACAAATTGTCGCCACTTATCATTGGGACACGCTTTGTCCTCACGATACCACAGAGAGTCGTTCAAAGCCGGGGCCTAAACTCTTTCTGTAATACTACGACAAATGAGAATGGAGCTGTGGGGAAGAGGGAGGAAGAACCAGCTGGGTTAACTCAGACAACTGAGGTACAAGGTTGGTGTAGGTCTGAGCTAACGTCTGTGGGACACACATTATTAGCACTTGACCTGTGTGGGTGTCTATGAAAAAGGGTGGTCTGTGGTTGTTCTAAAGCAGAGGTCTCGCTCTGCTGCCTCTGTGCCATCAGTTACCGTAATTTCCGGACTATTGAGCGCACCTGAATATAAGCTCCCACTTAATTAATCCCAATTAACAAGTAAAGAAACTTTTTAAAAAACTCATCAAGAGCTAAATTAAACCATTATTGACATCTAGTTTGACTAACCCAATTTGGGGGGTTTATGGGCCAGAAGTAGTCCACAGGCCGTTTAAATTTTGTAGTGTGGCTAGCTCCTTTTGGTCGCGTTCTATATGTGTTTTTGAAGGAAGTCTTTATATTAAGGTCCTTCAGTTGTGAGTGTGTAACATATAATCAAAGACTTATAGTTTAAGATATTTGGTAATATGGTATAAAAGAATACTTTTGACACTCGTCGTTTGTTTTGCAGCTACCATCATTCTAAATGAGCTGAACTGGACAGAAGCCTTGGATGAAGTTTTCCGGAAAAATAAAGCGGACGATCCGTCTCTTCTCTGGCAGGTGTTTGGTTCTGCCACCGGACTGGCGCGGTACTACCCAGGTAAGAAGCCCCCAGGAAGGCAACTGATCGAACTCATGAACTGTGATTAATTTGGTCACATTGGTGATTTTGTTAAAACCTTGTTCACTCCTAACTTTAAAGTACGTTTCTCTGTGAACTTTGATGTTGAAAATACTTCTGTAAAGAAGTACAAGGCAAATGAAAAGATGAGACAGTTTTTTTTCTCCTCTTGAACTCCCAGCATCCCCTTGGATGGACGTTAGCAACTCGGCTAATAAGATCGACCTCTATGATGTACGCAGGAGACCTTGGTGAGTGCACAACCATGCAGCTAATTTGGGAATATTTTTAGTTTACTTTTGGCTAGTTTTAGGCTAGCACTTAGTTATGCTTTGGCAATTTTTATGTTTTGTCTGATTTAAATAAATTTAGCAATTTTAGCATGTTAGCATGTAGTTTGGTCATTTTTATTCAAATGCCTCCATTTTTACCAACTTTAAAAAAATATTTTGGCTTAATCCAAGCTGTTATAGAATATCTCTACAGTGATCATTATTACATTTATTTATTATTACATCATCATTATTATTATTATTATTATTATTATTATTATTATTATTATTATTATTATTATTATTATTATTATTGTTATTATTATTGTTATTATTATTATTATTATTATTATTATTTTCTAGTACGACATTATGACATACAGTCAAGCCAATTTTTTATGTTTTATTTTTTCAATTTTTATTTTTCTTCTCCAATAATCATCTTGACATTTTTTTTTTTGTATCTCTTAATGTGTCTGTTATTACTCACCAGGTACATTCAGGGAGCTGCGTCACCCAAGGACATGCTGATCTTGGTGGACGCGTAAGTGATGTCCTCATGATTCATCAAAAACAGTGCCTTTAATAGTCAAATAGTCCAGGTGACTAAGTCAAGATGTGAAACCATCAACAGTGACAGCTGTGACCCACACGCCTCAACCTTTATTTACTTGTTTATTCTAACAAACGTGTGACCAGTAGTTCATTTCGGCTGCGTTCACAGTGTACTGTACTGACAACAGTCCCACACAACTGCGTTCACAGTGTACTGTACTGTACTGACAACAGTCCCACACACCAGAATGTCTCGGTCAGACTGAACTGTTGGGTTTTTTTTTTGTCTTCTAATAAAACACCAACCTTCACCCGTTAGCACTTTTATTCACTGACATTTTCATATTGTAGCGGTGCTCGGTGATGACTCACCCAGTTCTATTCACTGTCGACTGCGTGTCACTACGGTGCAGCAGATGCTGGCTGCTGTGACGCTGTGGTGTTTTAATCAGTTTAGTGATTTATGGTTAACCAAAAAAAGAACCTGATAGTTTTATAACACTCACTTGTGTGAGGAGGCTCTGTAAAACTTCAGGGTTGCATTTTAACCTCGTTTGAAATTCTAAAGAATGCAGTATGATTTGAGAAACATAAAAAAAAACAAAAACACATTTTCCAATGAGGATCCAAAGATTGTTCTTTAAAATTTTGGAAACTATTTTAGGAGATTTACTGTCAGATGTACTCACATGGTGTTAAGTATCTACAACCGGGGATTAGCAACCTATGGCTCGTGAGCCACATGTGGCTCTTTGGCCTCTGTGGAAAGGACCAAATTTAGCCTTACTGTGTTAAAATATCATGGCTGGTGCATCATTTTATATTATTAGTAGATAGTAAATGTAATTATTTTTCCAAAACAGCTATCTTGCTAACAGCAAAACAACATGAGTGCCGTCCTCAAAATCAGATTTATTTTGCTTAATTGACAAAGAAAGAACAAGACACACTCTTTACACACACCACTGTAATCTGCATGGTCATTTTAGTTCTGGTCAGTAAGAACAGTTCTTCTTTTTTACAGGAGTGGCAGTGTTTCAGGTCTCACGCTCAAACTCATTCGCACGTCCGTTAGCAAGATGCTGGAGACGCTGTCTGATGATGACTTCGTCAACGTGGTGTCTGTGAGTATTCACACGGCTACTCCCATGACTTTGACAAAAATGACCGGATTAGTTCACGTATTTACTGTCTGACACCGTCAGCTGAAGGCCGTTAGCTTTAAATGACGACGTGCACTGATTGTTTCCTGTGACGTTGAACCAAAAATCGCCCTTGCTTTCACCTAACATTGAATTCCCAGGTGCACCTCTGCTAAATGGTGGCAGGATTATTTGTGCCTTTTCCATTTTAGTAGCCACACTCCTGCGGATTGAGTCATCACTTTAAAGATGGCACTGACCTTTAAAGTGACACATGGGTGGATCTTTAGTGTGGCTGCATGTGTGCATAGATGCATGGCCTGCTGGGTTACTCATCCATCTGACTCAGATTGTTCCATTGGGTATATTTACAGTATATATGTGCAGGCGTACGTACTGTATGTGTTTATGTATGAGCGCAATATCTCAGGAGCATCAGAGCGACCCATGTATCGCAGAGAGAGAGAGAGTTTGACGAACGGCTGTTTGTGGCTTCATCACACTTTTCTCTGAATCACTGGGATGAAATGGCACATCTCCTTGTTTGCCATATAGAAATTCTGCCAGACCCTGAGCCATCATTTGGTTTAGCCGAGACTGGTCCTGTGAGGCCCATTAAAGTTTTTTACCAAGGAAAAACAGAAATAAGAGTTTAAAATGTGGTAGTCTGTACTGAAGCAACAATAAAAGAGGTGACAAAAAGGTCAACGTTAAAAGCATTAAAAACCTGTTTTTTTAAAAAATAAATACTTTAATCATTTATTGCTGGCATTGCTAATTTTGGAATTGCACCAGCCCACAGGGGGAGACAGTGAGCAATGAACTTACTTGTCACTATGTGTTATCATTCTAGAAATAAATACCCTGATAAACGACATTATCGCCTTAGCACACTTGGCGTAAAAGTTGAGTTGACGCTTAGCAAGGAGACCTGCTCTGTAGTAAAAGTTTTACACAAATAAAATGCGTTGCCTGTATTTTAAATGACCTGCGCTGATCTAAACTATTTCCCCCTGTAGTCTTTAATGATCTCCAGACTGTCTAAGCTCACATTCTGTCTATTGTTTGTTGCAATGAAATTCCAAAAATACCTTTTTATGCTGATGACGTCTGTTGTTTAACAAGCTTCTAACATTGTTAATCGTTCCCTCACCCTTTTCACTGCTTTTCTCTTATTCTGTGTAGTTCACATGACATTATTTATTTATTTTCTAATGGATTAGCTCTTTATTCATTAATGTCAATCTTAAATTGCATTTTTGGCTGCAGGGTACGTCATGTTTGAATACTCCATCTCTCAGTTGCACTCTGATTTTTCTTTGTCAGGTTGGAATATGAATTACGTATCTGGATTTCTTTCCTCACTAACCATTCATTACATTTCCTTTTACTGCCTGTGATAAAGCTGTTCTTTATGGGGTTTTTTTGGAGCTTTCAAATCAGCCGAGAAAAAAAAGGCTTTTGAATTTAATTGAATCAGACAGCAGCGTTTAAACTATATCGGTGCCATCAAACTCAGTAAATCAAGATTATTCATGCGTTATTATGGTATTTATACTGTAAGTACTGTATATTATGTATGTGCTATGTATACTTTTTAAAATAGGTCAAGTTATAGTGTATATTTCTCTTCATATCCAAGTGAAAATCCAGTGTTTTGTATCTGTGTTGTAGTTAGTTGTTGGTTTTTTTGCCCCAAAGTTTCATCCAGTATGTTTTGAATTGAACCTATATGTTGACACTTGTATAAATATGGCAGATATTCTGAGAAGTATGGATTCTCTCTGAATATTTCAAAAGTCGTGTAAAAAAAAGGAACAAAATCACTTACGTCCAGAGTTATCCAGTACAGAAAAATCCTAAATTATTAGAAAAAGTTTTACTTACATAATTTGTAAGCCACATATTCGATGTACGTTAAAGAAAGCTGAACAATGGGCTAACAGCATTAACATATTAGCAAATAAATAGCTATTAAAGTTAGGTTTACAATCACCTGTTTCTGTGTTATCAGAAATGGGTAAAATAAATTTGCTATAATTAAAAAAAATGGCCAAAGGATAACTTAATGTCACAATAATAGCTTTGCAAAGTGAGTCACAATATTAATTCACTTATCACAAGATAACAGTTAAAATTAGCATGAGCTAGCTCAGCGTAGCCTGAGAAATGCTTAGCTGGTTGCCAGCAGCTACAATTTGCTAAACAGATGACTAACGTCTTTTCAGACCCAACAAAGGTTAGCAAAGAATGAAGAACGTTAACACAAAGCTTATAAGGATATGTTAATGAGGAAACTGGAACCTTACTTCAGTGGAACTTGTTTTAATCACTTATATTCGCGACTAACTTTGGGTCATGTACACAATGCTAACATCCCTGCTTCCCCTGTGAATATCTACGTGTGAACTTTGATTTATGCATAGTTTAAATGATCAGGATTTTATCTCTGTCTCCAATTCAAGCATTTTCTGATTCCTCTGAAGCTAATTTAACGTCTCTATTTGTGTCTGTCTAGACCTGAGGCTTATGCAGTAACTAAAATGTTTTGTGTTTCTTCTTCTCCTCCTTATACCACCGTCTTCACGTCCTTCCTTCCTTTCCTTCTGTCCTTCTATAGTTCCCTTCGGTCTGTGCAGATTTGATTAAAATATGATTTCATTAGCGCGTTAGCAAATGTTACATCACTGAGGCCAACTGTGTTACTAAAGCAGATTTGCTTTTCTTCAATATCATTTGTCACTAATTCATTTATTTCCTTATGAAATCATATGATCTCTCTTTAAATGTTATTGAGAGTTTAAAGGGACACTTCGTGACTCTGCAGCCAAGGGACCAGTGGTCACATATTGAACAGAAGATATGTGCAGGTCATGTCTACCTACCATTTCCCATCATCCCTCCTTACCTGTTTCCCCCCTCAGTTCAATGAAAAGGCCTCGTATGCAGCGTGTTTCCAGAACCTGGTGCAGGCTAACGTTCGCAACAAGAGGATCCTCCAGGACGCCGTGAAGGACATCGTGGCCAAGGGCATGACCAACTACAAGGGTGGTTTTGAGTTGGCCTTCGAGCAGCTCGCACAGGTAACTTCTGGTGTGGAATATCAGTCAGTGTCATGTGTGGTGTGGAGTATTAATTAACAAGTATTAATTTGGGTAATGATTGTATTTAAAATCCCCTTGATCAAAGACATATTTTCATGTAGGTTAGTTTTTTATTTGTAGTTCAATCTTGACGAGACACTGCCCACAAAAAAAACGAGTTTCTGGGGTCTTGAATAGTGAGTGTATGTTGACCTCTTGTGGCGATTTATAGACATTGCGGTTATTCATCGTACAATATTTTTTGTAATCGGTGCATTTCCTTTCTTTTATTCTTTTCTTTCTATCTTTTTTTTCCTCAAAAGAAAACTAATAATAATAAACAATTACTTTAGTAAGCTATTTGGGGTTTTTTTTTTTTAGATGAACGTCTCCAGAGCAAACTGCAACAAGATCATCATGCTCTTCACTGACGGTGGAGAGGAAAGAGCAGAGGAGATCTTTCAGAAGTACAACCCAAAACAAGCGGTAGGAATATCCTCACATTTGAAAAAACAAATCCATTTCTTGCTCTGTTTTGTATTCATAATAATAATTTTCCTCAAAAACTTTTACAGGTTCGCATCTTCACATTTTCAGTAGGTCAACACAACTACGACAAGGGACCAATACAGTGGATGGCCTGTGCAAACAAAGGTGAGAGAAGGTGGATTCAATGAATTTATAATAATTTCTCGTGTTGAGACAGTTGCTGGAAAAATTCCTGATTTTTTTATTGGCAAATATTATGAAAAATCTGATCAATGTTTTTCTTTAACAATAACCACACCCCACTGGCCTGGTGGCATTGGGATCAGACTGTGTGTGTTTACATGTGTCTGTTAAAATGCAATGACCAATAAAATTGATACTTCTTTAGATTTAATAAAAGATATTTTTGTCATCTTTCAAAAATGAATACAAAAATGACTTTATGATCCTTTTCTCTCAGGCTATTACTACGAGATTCCTTCCATCGGTGCCATTAGACTCAACACACAGGTGAGTTAGTGTAAACATCAGATGCAGCGACATTGTGAGGTTGTTGTTTACGACACACGGGTGAGGTAAATGTGTAATTGGCTAAGACAAAATTTGACAGCTGCTCTTGCAACGCGACATTTAATAATAATTCCATATAAAAATATATAAAGTATACAGTGGTAGATTTTGAAACTGTTAATGGTCTAAATCATACGTGTCAAACTCAAGGCCCGGGGGCCAAATGCGGCCCACCAAGCCATTTTGTGTGGCCCGCGGGAGCTTAAAAAGCATTTAATAAAGAC